CTCGGCCCAGATTCAGACGCGCTTCCGCCCCGCCCCTCCGGGCCGCCACGCCCACAGGCCAGGGCAGGGGCGGGACCATGGCAGGGGCGGGACCAATTATGTATATATATATATATATATATATAAAGTATATATAATATATATTACATACTTATATTTAACATATGTATTCATATACTGTTTATAGTATATAACATACATATTGTGTATATGTATATATAAATATATTTAATATATTTGTATCTGACATATTTATGTAGTATATAATATATAAAATGAGATATAAATTATATTTGAATATATTATAAATGTATTACATGTAATACATAAAATATATGTAACATATTAATATATTTACATATACAACATTCATATACAACCTACATAACTACATATTCTATATAATTATATACAGGTTTAATTATATATAATGTATTATATGTAATATGTAGTAGACATACTATTATAGCATATATGTTCATATAGATACATATCTATATGTATATGATGTAATATGTGTATTGATTTATATATACATATATACATTACATACTTGTATATAATGCATGTATGTCATACATATACATACATACATATAATTTTTAGTGGTGGTACTGGGATTTGTTTTTATTTTTTTATTTTATTTATTTTTATTTATTTATTTTTTTTGTCGGTCGTGGGGCCTGAACTCTGGGCCTGGGCGCTGTCCCTCAGCTCTTCAGCTCAAGGCAAGCGCTCTACCACTTGAGCTACAGCACCACTTCCGATTTTCTGGTGGTTTATTGGAGATAGGAGTCTCACAGTCTCTCCTGCCTGGGCTGGCTTTGAACCGAGATCCTCAGATCTCAGCCTCCTGAGTAGCTAGGATTACAGGCGTGAGCCACCAGCGCCCAGCGGTACTGGGATTTGAACTCAGGGCTTTGTAGTTATTAGGAAGGCATTCTACCACATGAGCTATTACACCAGTCTCCAGTCTCTATTTTCTTTTAAACTTTGAAATTGCAGTATTCTCTACAATGACTATGAATTACAGAGTGAAAGAGAAAATGAACTTGTGTGTGTCAGCCCGTACTAAGGCTTGAACTCAGGGTCTGGGTGCTGTCCCTGAGCTGATATTCTACCACTTGGTCCATAGCTCCAGTTCTGGCTTTTTTTTTTTTTTAGGTAGTTAACTGGAGAAAAAGAGTATCACAGTACTGGCTTAGAACTGTGATCTTCAGATGTCAGCCTGAGCAGCTGCGATTATGGGAATGAATCATCAATTCCTGGCTTGAACATTTTTTTTTTTTTTTGGTCCGGTGTGGGGCTTGAACTCTGGGCCTGAGTGCTGTTCCTGAGCTCTTCAGCTCAAGGCCAACACTCTACCAGTTGAGCCACAGTGCACTTCCAGTTTTCTGAGTGGTTTATTGGAGATAGGGTCTCATGGACTTTCCTGCCTGGGCTGGCTTTGAACCGTGATCCTCAGATCTCAGCCTCCTGAGTAGCTAGGATTATAGGCTAGAGCCACCGGCACCTGGCTACTTGAACTTTTTTTCAATGTATGAAATTCAAAGCAGTTCATCTGAGTACTTGCTCTCAGTCCAACAATGTGGATTAAGGGATCTTTCTAAAACACAAGTAGGCTGGGAAGGTGGCTTAGTGGTAGAGTGCTTGCCTAGCATGCATGAAGCCCTGGGTTCGTTTCCTCAATACCACAGACACAGAAAAAGCTGGAAATGGTAGAGTGCTAGCCTTGAGCAAAAGCAGTTCAGGAACAGTGCCCAGGCCCCAGGATTAACAAAATAAATAATTAAAAAACCCCCACAGATGTTAAGGTACTTCAAGGATTACATCACTTCTATGTCTCTTGGTGGTTTTTTTCTGCGTGTAATTGGTGTGGTTTTGATACTTTATTTTTGGTGCCAGTACTTGAACTCTGCATCTTGGTGGTTCTGCTACGCGAGCCATACCTCCAATTCCTTATCTAGTTTTATTATTATTTTTTGCAGGTCGTGGTGCTTGAACTCTGGACCAGGGCGCTGTCCCTCAGCTCTTTCAGCTCAAGGCTAGTGCTCTACCACTTGAGCCACAATGCCACTTCCGGCTTTTTCTGCTCCTGCTTATGTGGTGCTGAGGAATCAAACCCAGGGCCTCATGCATGCAAGGCAAGCGCTCTATCACTGAGCCACCTTCCCAGGCGCGCCCCTTCTCCCCCCTTTTTAAATGCTGGTACTAGCGCTTAAACTCAGGGCCTGTGTATTTGTCCCTTAGCTTTTTTGCTTAAGGCTGGCACTCTACCACTCAAGCCATAGCCCAATTTCTAGCTGTTTGGTGGTTGACTGGATATAAGAGTCTCACGGATTTTCCTTCCTGGGCTGGTTTTGAAGAGTGATCCACAGATCTCAGCTTCCTGAGAAGTTAGGATGACAGGTGTGAGCCACCAGTCCCTGGCTCATTTTCACAGAAACAGCATATCTTCAACATATGTCAGAGCTTATCTTCAACAAATGGTGGTTCTTTTCATTTCGTGATTCAATACAATAATAGTGCAGATTTCATGTGTGTGTGTGTGAGATGGGGCTTGAATTCAGGGCCTGGGCACTGTCCCTGTGGGGGTTTTTTTTTGTTGTTCAGAGCTAAACACTACCACTTGAGCCACAGCTCTACTTCTGGCTTTTTGATCATTCACTGGAGATGAGATCCATGGACTTTTCTGCCTGGGCTGGCTTTGAACAGTGATCTTCAGATGTCAGGCTCTTGACATCTGATCACAGGTGTGAACTGCTTGGTTTCCAGTGTCTCCTTGGCTCTTGTCGCCGTATTTCTCATACTAAATTGTCATACACAAGCCTAGTTCCCGACTTGCCACTGTTTTACTGGTCTGTCCTCTATCCATACACAAAATGACACTAATTGTATACGAGTTTTGATATCCACTATTAAACACTCAATTTATCCCCTCCCCTCCTACCTCCCAGCTCTCATTTTTCCTCACCAAAATAACACCTGTGAAGTCTGAAATCCCATGTTATTAGGCTGCCATTCTATTTGGATGTAGCTTAGTACTGACAAGTGTTATCAGTTCCTGTTTGAGAACTTGCTATACCTTCCCATGTGTCCAAAGGCCTTTGCTTTTGCATCCTTCAGGTTTCTTTATCTAGACTTTAATATATGTCCTGTCACTACTGACAATATATTTTTATTATTATTATAAGGGTGATGTACAGAGGGATTTAGAGACAATTATTTTAAGAGTAAAGAAACTTTTTTTTTAAACAAACAGGTTGACATTCAAATCAGTCCTATGTTTTGGACCCTTGAATAGAAAGCTATTTAAAATAGTAGACCAAACACAAAGCCAGCTCAGGGCAGATCTGTTCAATGCGCACTGGAGTGGGGGGGGGAGGGTCTTTCTCCCGTGATGCTCCTTGTTGAAGGAATCCCTAGACCACCATGTCTCCAAATATAGGAGGTTGGCCTTATAGTTTTTTTGTTTGTTTTGGCTTTCTGATTCTAAGCCTATTTGGACTTATTTCCAAATACTGCCTGTGACGTGGCCAAGAAGAAAATGGATCGTTCCTACGGAGCTGGAATTGTAACCTGGGTCTGGTCCTCTCTCTGGTTCGAGTCTCAATGGACTCTTCTGTACCATGCACTGGACCATGAGCCTCAGTACTCGGCCCTAGAGGAAGCAGCTGAGTTCCCTAACTGGAAAGTGGTGAGCAGAGACTAAAGGAATGCTGTACCCTACTCCTGAGGACATTTAATACCTTCTATTCTGAACCTTCTAAGCTGGATAGAACAGCATTTCTCTCAACTGTTCTGCCTTGAATCTTTCAAATTCTTCATTACAGTGTAGCTAGAGGGCTCAATGTGGAGGAGGAGGAGAGAGAGGAGGAAGGGGAGGAGGAATGGAATGGCTTTTCTAATTGCTTCTACCCACATAAGGACATTGTTTCCTGTGCTGGTCCTGAGGCTTGAACTCAGGGCCTGGGCACTGTTCCTAAACTTTTTTTGCTCACTGCTAATGCTCTACTACTTAAGCCACAACTCCACTTTCGGCTTTTTTTTTTCGGTGCTTCATTAGAGCTAGGAGTCTTACAGATTTTCCTAGTCAGGCTGACTTCAAACCACGATTCCCAGGATCTTAGCCTCCTAAGGAGCTAGGATGACAGGCATGAGCCTGTGATCCCTGGCTAAGACTTCATTTTCATGTTTTTGCTTGTCATGGGGTTTGAACTCTGGGCCTGAGCTTTGTCCCTGAGCTCTTGGTGCTCAAAACTAGTGCTCCATCACATAAGCCACAGCACCACTTCCAGTTTTCTGGTGGTTCACTAGAGGTAAGAGACTCACAGACTTTCCTGCCCAGGCTGGCTTTGAACCACGATCCTCCAGATCTCAGCCTCCTGAGTAGCTAGGATGACAGGGGTAAGCTCTTACAATGGCTTTTGCTCCAGGGCCCTGTGTACACACTTTGCTTAGGCCTGGAGACATGATTAATTAGAATGATGAAAACACACAGACACGTACTATTATTTCAAATCAGGAGAAACCTCAAATGTTTTATTTTTTTCTCCGAGATATCATGTGCCCAAAGATTCAAAGAGGACAAAGAAGTAGAAGCTGTTCTCTTATGAAGAATACAAATGCTTTATATCCATTCAAGAAGTGTATATTGTAGCTAAATGTCAGTGAAATATTGAAAAATTAGTCTGAAGTGTCAAGGAAAGGCCAACAGGGGGCGCAGTGGGCGGCTGGCTGCTGGGTGGGGATCCTTTGGGATCCGTTGTCTTCAGAAGTGGATGGCTGTGGGGTGGGGGGTGGGGGGAACATAGGCGAGGGGAGACTTGGAGAGAAGAGAAAGGAAGAGGGAAAATACAAGGCAAACCATTTCAAACCTTTTCATCTTTTTTTTTTTTATTTTAAATTACAAAGGATGTTGCATACACCGATGAAATCTGCATCTGACTAGAAGTGCTTCCGGGTTATGGATGACAGAGACCCAAGGCAACTTTGTGCATTGAATTGCCTTTTCTTCTGAAAAATGAAAAAAACAACAAAACCCAAAACCAAACATACATATAAACAAACAACAACAACAAGAACCCGGCACAACTATGAACCAACATTTGAGTCATTTTTTTTTTTTTAAAAACAGCTCATGCGCCAACGAGAGAAAATTCTTTCTAGACAAAGAGACAAAACTGAATCTGATAAAAAAAAAAAAGGGGGGGCATAACTCCAGTTGGGAAGGGAAGGGGAAAGAGGTTAACCGCAACTACAGAATGTCGATGATAGCATTACAAATAGAACCCTAAGCAACTATGCCAAGATCGCCACGTTGTCGGAACAAATGCTTTCAATTCTTGCCCTTCTAACTCTTCTCTCGTGGCTTCTGTCCTGTTGCTTCGCACACAGAGGCTAGGCGACAGGACAGATCCTGGGGAGAGAGGGTTAAAATAATAATAATAACAATAATAAAAGCCAGCAGTGTAATACAATGTCATAAAAACACGTGGTGGAAAGGCAGTTACAGTACACAATACATTATTTCTGTTATTTGGTTCTGCAAAAAGAAAGAAAGGGTGAAAAGGCAAGCTCCAGTATTCCTGGGCACCCAGAATGGACTCGACTACACCACTGTGTGTGAACGACAGAGGCAAAGCTAAGTTCACCCAAACTTGGCACATGGAAATACCCACAATGCTCTCGGCTCAGCCACCATGTCCAAACACCCCTTTGGAAGTGCTTAACAAGGTTCCAACCCCTCAGCCCACCTCTGTACTTTCTTGTTTCTCCACAGTAACAAAAAAAGAGAGAACAGTTTGGCATAGTTTGGATTCTAGGTGTCGTTGCTACCATTTCAGTCTGTTTGTTAAGCAGGAAGACTATGCTTCAACACATAATCCTGCTTGTCAGGGGGGAAGCGTGGAAATTCTCAGTAGTACATTTCGCCATCTTTCTCCAAGCAGGGGCTAAATTAGTTGTTTCGCACTACGAAACCACCATTCCTACACCAGTGGACAGTCACGGATGCATCCAGATGCGTTTGAAATATTAAAACAACAACAACAACAACACGAAGTCATCTTCTCATAATGCCCTGCTGAAGATTACGAAGGTGACAAAAGAATCCACAAGTGGTACGGCACTGGAGGAGACGTGTCAGTCACGATTAAGGGAAGAATAAATGTGCGGTTCTGTGCAAAGTAGCAGAAGCGGCTTCCGTTCTACCACAGACTTCATAGAACGAATCACACTGAAAGCATTCATTCAATGTGTTCTCGAAATTCAAGTTTCAAGACTTGGAGAGATGCTAACGTTGGTAGGTACTGAACTAGAAAACACTTGAGACAAGAGTTTTTAGGAAGACTCTAGAAAGGAAAGGAACACAAGGTTTTTCTTTTTGTTAATTTCTGCTGAAGGCAACTTGAATCCGTTTCTGAGGAACTAAATCTTAGCAGCTAAAAAAAAAAAAAGTATGCTTTTTTTTTTTTAAACGTATGGAAGTAAAGAAAATCACATCCATGCTGGACATTATTGGTGAATAAACTAACAGCTTTATTAATGAAGGCAAACATCAGATAATTGTCTGAATATTATATATATATATATATAAAAGAAATTCATACTAACAGCATTGTATTTCAAAAGTACTATACTTCTTTTTCTTTGAAAGAGACTTGTCATCTGTTGTATAAAACCAACAAAAAAAATGGGCACTCTTCTCCTAAAAAGTTATGGAAAAGGAAGTAGTCGATTTCAAGCAGATGAATCGAACACACCTTTCTTGAACTTGTAGACATATTGCTAAGAAGCAAATCAAGTCAAGCCATCGGAAAGATGTAGAACAAATTCATGAAAGGCAGAAGAGAAGGGACGGAGTGAAATGACTGAATCTTTCCCCCACTTCAGATCAAAGACCATTCAAAAAAAAAAAAAAAAACCTGGCCTTTCATACAAGTATAAAAGAACTACAAAGAGAGGGAATGTGAAATCTCACTGCGGGAAAACCCTTCGTGAAGCATTTGTGGTAGCTCAGATTCTCTCACCGAAAGGGACATGGAAGGGAATGACGTGTTTAGTTTCAAATGTACAAGTAAGGCACAATATCAAGCCAGGTCATCGTCAGTCGTGAAGGTCGCAGGAAGGGACAGAGATCATACATGGTACAGTAGGACAAGCATTCATGTCGGACTGAGCACGTGTGGCGCCCGATTGGTAACCAGACAAGATCTGGACAAGATTGAGCAACTGGACAGCATGCTTTCATAGGGAGACAAACTCTACAAAAAAAAAAAAATCCAGTGTATCTGAAACTAGGAAGAAAAGTTTTTTGTTGCTTTTTTTTTCTCTTTAATCATAGTAGTAGTAGTAGTACTAGAATCCAAAGTGTATCATTGCCTTTTGGAACAATGGGTTTGTTTGAGGTGAATTTCACAAGGTTCTGGACTTCACTATGAGCGATCCTGGATACCATGTATGAACACAAGACACCCTTTAGAGAGTTCTTCTCTATTGATCATCACCCAAAAATACATGCTACGGTTTTCAAAAAAAAAAAAACAGAACATGTACAACTGTTGGGGTTTTTACATTACCGTAGAAGATGTATGTGTGTGTGTGTGTGTGGGTGTGAAATACATGAAACATACATATCTTAATGACAATAGAGGAAGCAAGATTATTACTGGCATTAAAATACAACCATTTCTAGACGGTTTTAAATGCCACAGAGTCCCCTGGTTAAAATGTAAAGCTGCACAGCTTGCTTGGGTCATCTTGAAGATAAAGTTAAGATCACAAGAGCATTCACCTTCCACTCTACATTTTACTGCCAGGTTTTTATTTAGATCAAGTATCAGTGTAGCATTCTGACCAGCCCAGAGTTAGCAGCAAATGGCAGGAATCATATAAAATGCAAATTTTTTTTAAACAAAGTGCTTTTCTAAGATATACATACATATATAAATAGGTACAAAATAAAGTGTCAACATTAAAAAGCTCAACTATTTAAAAGCTTTGAACTATTTAACTTAAGTCATACATATAAAAACACTGAAATGCAAGGCTATGGAATCTACTAAACAGATTCAAAGTCTTTTTTTTTTTTTGTTTTGTTTTTTGTTTTTGAAATGCAAGACCAAAAAATCAAATTCTGGTTTGCAGACAAGAAAAAAGTATCAAAAAACCAGAATTTCTAACAGAGCAGCTAGAAAGGGGGCAATTTTATAAACCTCGTCAGCTGAATGTCTGTATCACGAAGTGATTTTCAGCTGACTGCAAAACTGTCACATTTTGGAACACTTTCCCATTTCCCAGATACACACGCTGTGGAAACCTCACCAGCTTTTCCTGTACTTTGTCCTTTTTTACATCTAGAAAGGAAAACAGTGAGCTGATGAACTTGAACTGGTCAGCCACTGAGATTTGCCCTTCTCATCCGTTCAATGTGAACGCACGAGCGGGCGCATTGCCACTAAACATGGAGGACAATCTTGAGGGTTATATAGTTCAGCTATCATGTCAAACCAATCCTCCTCAGTTTTTATCTCCAGATATCAAAGAAGCTAGAGGGCCTGTTGGGTTGTTATTGTGTGTTCTAGAACTGAACCTTCATGTGCTATGTAACTTCATGTGCTGTCGCTTACAAATGGAGAGAAAGAAGGGAGCGGGAGGAGGAAGAAAGGAAAATGAAGACAGTAAATTCTACCATCAGGTAATGGAGAGATAGGTGTTTTCCCAGTGGTTAGGTCTGAAATTTTTTGGTTTTCTTGCTGTTTCTGTGTGTGTGTGTGTGTGTGTGTGTGTGTGTGATACTTTTTCCCCCTCTCTTTTAAGTACAGGTTGGAAACCACTAGGTTTCGGAGCAAACAAAAAGATTTGAGAGTAAACTGAAGGAACAGATGGAAAGATCTGTGGGGTAGGTTTATAATGCTGCCTGGACAGAAGGAATTCTCATCAAGAGGTAAAGCTCGAACATGGCTACATGGACTACAGAAGCTGTTCGATGTGAGCCAAAAAAGAGCACCTAAAAACTAAAAATGTGTCAATGTCTCCCAGTTCTAGAAACTATAGAAGAATAAGTCACATGTAAGTTTGAAGAAGCTAGTTTGAAAATACCTGTACAAAAATATAAAAATCTATAAAGTTTTCTGTTTCTGTTGTAAGCTTGTGTTGATCTTTGAAAATATTACATGCACAGTAATACATCGATTGGAAAAGTGGCAACTAAAGAATTAGATAGTTTTAGCTTTTTTTTCCTCTCTTTACAGATATATATATATATACACACAATACAATAAAAATAATCTGTATTTTGGTTGTTTGGTGGAAGTATACTACAATAAGCTAAATAAACTTTGTCATCTTCAAAGTCAAAAACTTTATCAATAGCTTAATAAAATGAAATATATTAAAATTTCCTACAGTTAAGTGCAGAAATAAAAAGACTTACAGACAACTAAATGGCTACCAACTTACCTATTATGGAAGCAACTAGAGGAACAGCAAAATAATATATCTGTATGTACGGATGCTCCTTCTATAGATAATTGGACCCAAACAGAAGTAAGATTCACAGTTCAGTAAGATCCCAACCCTGACCTTTTAGGTTTTGCTCCTTTTTTCATACATTCATACAGTATCATGTAAGCTGTGCAAAACTTTACTTAGACTGGCAGTTTGCCATATCAGTTGCATTTGTCTTTGGTACAAAAAAATAAAACAATCGCAATAATGTGCAAGTATTTGTCTTCTTCCGGTCAAGTACCGAAATAGGAGTTTTCTAGAGCCATCTTTTTTTTTTTGTTGTTGGTTTTTTTTTTTATATATACAATACAAAGACTCTGTGGCATATATCTACATTTCAACATAGTCCTATATACATTCAAAAAATCTGAAAAAGTTTGGAACAAAAAAAAAAAACAGTTAAACCCCATAAGTTTTCCATCTATATATCTTAATTTTTTCCTCGTTAAGGGTTTTCATCATACAAAATATTACCAGTTTTAGAGTTTCCCAAAATACAAGGCACAAAGAATATGCTTTTTTCTTACTTGCACAGACATCTGTATATATTTATAGATATATATTTATATATGATATTGAGCTCTGGAGTTGAACGTCTACCATGGCACTCAAACATGAGTGTCGGGTGAGCCATGTACAAGTGAGATTAATGGCTGTGGAAAATTAGGACAGAAAGCAATAATTCTAAAAACAATCTAAATGGACTGTTTAAAAAAATGCTTCTGTAACATTTTTGAGTGATTCAGAGCATAAACCTGCCATCATGCTTGGCATTATATTGAGCTATGCACCCTCCCAAAATGTTTTCCCTTCAATGCGTATGTGCAACTTACACCTTGATGTTTACTTAGCATGTGAGCTCCACTGCTAATGCCAGTAGCAGGTGTAATGGAGGTTTATGTTCTGAAATGCAATAATCAAGTATTTTGGATCATGCTTCACTTATGCTACAAGTTCTTAAAACAATGTAACCTAATCATAAATGTTTACATAATGCTAACTGACATGCAAAACAGAATGAAAATATACAATGGATAACGTGAGAAAAACAAAGAGACAGACACTTCTGACCAGTGGTCCAGTAGGGCTGGCTACACTTTTGATGCTGGTATTCGCAGTCCCACCAGGCCACCGGTGGGGTTGCCTTCTGCCGTCTTCTCTAACACTTGGTTAACGAATTCTGAGGTTTGCCCAGCAACTGGGAGGCCTGTGGAGAATAAAATGCACACCTGAACACACAATGGAGAAGGCATACCGCAAAGGGAAGCAATAGCTAACACTTGAGGGCCAGGTGGACCTCAGCTCGATGATACTGGCCCCCAAACAGTGCTCTGCTACTTGTTGTAACCATAGCCCAGAACATCCTTTGACCCATCACACTTGACTCCGCCATGGTTAAGAACAGAAAAGTGACACCAAGAATAACCATGAAGAATATGCTGGGCCTGGTCACGCACCCCTGGAATCCCATCACTTTTGGGAGGCGGCGATCAGTCTTTGCAGACAGACTTTGTCTTAAAAAAAAAAAAAAGTAGATAAAGCCGGGCACCGGTGGCTCACACCTGTCACCCTAGCTACTCAGGAGGCTGAGAGCTGAGGATCATGGTTTAACACCAGCCGGGGCAGGAAAGTCCGAGCCTCTTGTCTCCAATAAAGTACCAGAAAACCGGAGGTGGCGCTGTGGCTCAAGTGGTAGAGCGTTTGCCTTGAGCTGAAGAGCTTGGGGACAGCGCCCAGGCCCAGAATTCAAGTCCCACAATTGACAAAAAAAAAAAAAAGTAGAATGACCATTGGAGAATAGCTAATCACAGTTTAAAGTTGGGGAGATGGCAAGTAGAAGAGTCTAGACCCAAAGCCAGAGCCTGCCACAAGGCTGCTTCCCCATTTCTAGGAGCCAGGCCCTGCCCCTCGCTTTAATGTCATGTGATTCCTAGGCCAGATTCAACCTGCAACTGAAACTAGATCTGAAGGCTCTGGTTAGTCATTAAAAAATTACTGCATACAATTTATGTTCCTTAGAAATGAGAATGACTAAGAAAATGAAAGATCTACAGTAAGGCCAAGAATACTTGGAATCAATAAACGCTTACTATCAATCAATTAAAATCCTTACAACCAATAAATCAAATAACCAAACTCTTTGAGGAAAAGAAAGCCAGGTGTGGTGGCACCAGTACCAGAAAACCACGTTCTCCAGTGTATTGAGTGAGGCCAGCCTGGAATATAACCCAGAAAGACTCTGTCCTCCCTGACCCCCACTACAAAGACAACCAAGCAAACACAAAATTGGCTTGGGAATGGACATATATTCATTTATGGACATATATTCATTTAGCCATTGTGTAGCTCTACAAAGGATTGCTATACAAATATTGACTTTGCTGGGCGCAGGAAGCACAAGCCTGTCATCCTACCTACTCAGGAGGCTGAGCGCCCAGGATTGTGCTTGGAAGCCAGCTCACACACACAGGAAAGTCTGTGAGTCTCTGATCTCCAATTAAAGACCCGAAAAGCCAGAGTGGAACTGTGGCTCAAGTGATGGCCTGCTAGCCTTGAGCACTGAGTTCAAGCGCCAGGGCAGGCATGTACACAGAAAAATGACTGATTTCACCATAACCATTTCACCATAACCATCACTGACAAATGATGGTGAGTGCTGGCAATAAAATGATAAGTGATGAATTCTTGCCCCAAAAACCAAACAAACTTAACTGTATCTTGTCATGAAGGAACCTATAAATCCAAACACTGGCACAATTTAGAAAGTCAAAACCTGGATTTGTCATTGAAAAAAGACCAACAACTCTGAGAGAGCTTATTGTTGGATTAGTGTGTTACTGTATGTATTCAAGGAGACAAAAGAGATGTAAGTAGATGCAATAAGTAATTGTAAATACATCACAGACAAGGGCATACAGGACACTACTGGAGCAATATTAAAACAGATTCCATATTAAATATTACGTCAATACTCAAGTACATGGATATAATAGTGGTATCACAGCTGAGCTTGAGAATGTCTTTGTTTTCTAGATACATATCAAAATAGGAATACAGAGGGCTGGGAAGGTGGCTCAGTGGTAGAGCGCTTGCCTTGCATGCCTGAGGCCCTGGGTTCGATTCCTCAGCACCACATAAGCAAAAAGAAAAAAAGAGCCAGAAGTGGTGCTGTGGCTCAAGTGGTAGAGCGCTAGCCTTGAGCTGAAGAGCTGAGGGACAGCGCCCAGGCCTAGAGTTCAGGCCCCACGACTGGACCTCCCCCCAAAAAAATAGGAATACAGAATCACGATGTTTATAAGTTACCCGAATATACACCACTGCCCAATATACATACAGGCAGGAGCAGAAGTAAAACAAATGCTGAAAAGTATTAGCAACTTGAGGGAGAGAGGGAGAGAGAGAAAGAGAGAGGAGAGGGATGGAGGGGGAAGGGGGAGGGAGGGAAGGAAAGACTGATATTATACTAACAGCATTTGATTTTTTTCCTTTCTTTGTGTGTGTGTGGGGGTAAGGGTACTGAGACTTGAACTCTTGGCCTTGAACTCTCACTGACTTTTTTGCTCATGCGTGGTGCTCTACCATTTCTAGTTCTGGCTTTTTTGCTGGTTAACTGGTTATAATAAATCTCGTGGATTTCGCTGCTAAGAATGGACTTCGAGATCCTCGGATCTGAGTCTCCTAACTGGAGGAGATGACAGGTCTGAGCCACTGGCTCCTAACTAAAAACAATTCCTTGTTGTTGGTTGTGGGGCTTAAACTCAGGGCCTGGATGCTGTCCCTGAGCTCTTTTGCTCCAGGCTAGCACTCTACTACTTTTGAGTTTTCTGGTGGTTCACTGGAGTAGGAGTCTCACAGACTTTCCTGTCTGGGCTAGCATTGAACTGTGATCCTCAGATCTCAGCCTCCCTGAGTAGCTAGGATAACAGATGTGAGTCGCCAACGCCTGGCTTACAAGAATTTTTAATATCCCTTGAAATCATACATCTCATACTACACTAAGTTCCTAAGTGTTAGGTTGTAGATCTATCTTGTATTCTTACCAAGAGTATCTTTAATGAGAATTTCAAGCTTTTGCCCCATGTTGGGTCCTCTCTCCTCTCTTGGATTCTGTACCCGGTTTACAATCTCTTGCTTGATGGAGTTGATTACAAACAATAAATTATCTGCAAGACAGAATAAAAACGCTTGGAACATGTCCTTTAACACAGAAGTATTTGTTTAATAACCTCAGATATTCAATTAAAAACAGGAGGGCAACTGGGGGTTGAGCATGAGGATGAGACCCCCCCCCAAGATTAAACCCCAGTACGGACACAATAGCAAAACAAAACAGAACAAAACTGGAAGGGCTTGTAGCACAGCTCAGTCATGGATGCATAGGTCCTGGACTGGATCTCCAGCTCTGGTTTAAAGAAGTAAAAATAAAAGGAAAAACAAGGACTGGGAAGGTGGCTTAGTGGTAGAGTGCTTGCCTAGCATGCACGAAGCCCTGGGTTTGATTCCTCAGTACCATATACACAGAAAAGCTGGAACTGGTGCTGTGGCTCAAGTGGTAGAGTGCTAGCCTTGAGCAAAAGAAGCTCAGGGACAGTGCCCAGGCCCTGAGTTCAAGCCTCAGGACAGGCGAAAATAAATAAATAAATAAATAAATAACAGGAAAAAAAATAAAAGCAACTAAACAAAAATCAGTGTATTCTTCTATTCCAAAGTAGGGGACCTAGGAAGAGACCTAAGAAGTCTGGGTTTTAACACATACAAAAGCATTAAAAAAAAAAAGTATTCCAATGAGCAATCCAATTTCAAAGCACACATTCTACACTATTCTCACAAAGCTTAAAATACGATCCAAAGAACTAAAATTTTAAGGTGTTTCTATGGGAAATATGAAACCAGTCAATCAACTGGCTGGTATAGCATACAATCACGAAGAGGAAGAAAGGCCCAGGGTCTCCAGTTGGCTGTATTGAGATCTCTACTGTGGAGCCAACTTCCAACACTCAGGCCAGGAGACAAGGATTCATGAACATGGGCACAGGAAGCAGGGTGCTGGGTGGGTGAACCCTAGTAAGGCTGGGCCAGAATGAAAAGTAAGGAACAAAGCCAAACAAGCAGCGCGGGAACAGTGGAAATAGGAAGTTAAAGACACTCTTCAATGTTTAGAAGTTTACCATATTCAGTGTTGAGGCCCCATAATTTCACTTTATTAGCTTCATACTGGGCTTTTTTCTTTAACCGACAAGCTCTGTGAAAGGAAGGAACTATTAGTTCACTGTTCTGGTAAGAGAGCATTCAAAATAGACCCCTTTGCTATAAGACATTTTCTTTTCCTTTCTCCTTTTGGGCTAGTCCTGGGATTTGAACTCAGGGTCTAGGTGCTATCCCTGAGCTTTTGTACTCAAGATTAGAACTCTACCACTTGAACCAGAGTTCCACTTCTGGATTTTTGGTGGTTGGTTGGAGATAAAGAATCTCATGGACTTTCCTGCCCACACTAGCTTTGAACCACAATCCTCAGATCTGAACCTCCTGAGTAGCTAGGATGACAGGCATGAGCCACCAGAACCCGGGCTTGCTTTTATAATTTTTAAGGTAATGAAAAAATGCTCAATGATTATGTTGGTAAGTTATATGAGGGAATGTTTGTCACAATGATGTAACAGTGTACACTAAAAGGGGTGAATTAAATTTTTTTTATTATCTTTAAGTAGTTATACAAAGAAATTCCCATTCTACAAAACAGTATATGAATACAAAGTGTCTGACAACATTGTCACCCATCGCTCCTCACCCATCCCTTCTCTCACTTTTCTTTTCTTTTTTTTTTTTTGAGATTAGGTGATTATAAAAATTTCACAGTATTGTGGAATAGTGACACTTAGTTAAAGTCACAAACACATTCTAACCTTCACAAGGCAAATTGTCATTATCATGGTCTATAAAGTTTGTGAATTCTATGAGCTTTGACAATATAATTATTTCTTCCACATCAGGCGATATTTATGTCTTTTTTTCCTTTTGCTTAGTGTCAGCTGTTCCCTCTTTCCCTCTCATTCCTCCCTTCCCATCTCTGTCCTTGGGTTGCTTAATTTTCATCTATATTAAAAGGGGTGAATTTTAAGCTAGGAAAATTTAAGCTAGAAAAGTTGGTGGGTGAGTAATACCAGTAACCCTAGCTACTCAGGAGACTAAGAGCTGGGGATTATGGTTCAAAGTCTGTGGGACTTATGTCCAATGAACCAGCAAAAAGCCATAAGTGGAGTTGTGACTCAAGTGACAGAGCACTAGCCTTGAGCAAAAAAGCAGAGACACGGACAATGCCCAGGCCCTGAGTTCAAGCTCCAAGATCCTCTCCCCCCAAAGAGTTAATTTCATCCTAAGTAACCTGTACCTCAAAACACCTGACTAAGAAAGCAAATAAAACAGAAGCTGTAAAACTTTCCTTTTTCTATCATAATAGAACACATTTAAGTACCTGAACCTTTCTCCCTTTAAAACTTTTTCCAGGCAGGGCATGGTGGCACACACCTGTAATTCCGGAGCTCAGAAGCAGGAGAATTCAAGAGATTTTGAATCCTAGACTATACACAGTGAAACCTTGCCTAAAATGAAACCAACTGAATTTTTTTTTTTTAAAGAAAGCAGAAATGCTGTCTTTTACTTTCAAAGGAAAAGAATCTCACAGTAGGATTTAAGAAAGAAAAAAGTTACTTCTCAGTTCATGGCTGAAGGTCACCTCTTCTGTAAAAACTCAAAAGAGTTGAACTTCACATCGCAGACGTTTTTTCCACATGAGTGAACATGATTAGCATTTACCTGGAAGCCAGCTTATTTTTCTCCTTCCTTGACCTTGGCCGGGCTGTTAGGGGGAGTTCACTGACGGGAGTCAGGTCGCTAATCACCTTGTTCAGCTTCCGTAATTCATTGCCAATCTGGAGCAGTTTTTTAGGATTTGGAGTTAGGTCTTCCACGTCAGTCCTCCGTGACTTCTTTACTGCATATTTTCCTACAAAGAGTTGAAAAGCTGAAGTCAGCTTAGTGATCAAGAGATACATTTTCAGGCTGGGAAGGTGGCTGAGTGGTAGAGTGCGTGCCTACCATGCCATGAAGCCCTGGGTTCGATTCCTCAGCACCACATACACAGAAAAAACCAAAAGGGGTGCTGTGGCTCAAGTGGTAGAGCACTAGCCTTGAGCAAAAGATGCTCAGGGACAGTGCCCAGGAATTCAGAGGTTAAGCCCCAGGACTAGTATACACACAAAAAAGAATAGTCATGGTAATACAGTTCTACATTTCCCTTTTCAGTTGTATCCAAGAGCACTGAATAAACATTAGAATTCAGTATCTCAGCTGGGCACCGGTGACTCAGGCCTGTAATCCCAGCTACTCAGGAGGCGGAGATCTGAGGATCATGGTTCGAAGCCAGCCTGGGCAGAAAAATCTGTAAGACTCTTATTTCTAATTAATCACAGAAAAAGCCAGAAGTGGTACTGCGGCTCAAAGTGGTAAAGTGCTAGCCTGGAGCAAAAGAAGCCCACGGACAGTGCCCAGGCCCAGAGTTCAAGACCCAGGATTGGCAAAACCAAACCAAACCAAAAACAAAACCTCAATATCCCTATTTAAAAGGGATGGTGCCATGTGGCTGAAATCCCAGCGCTCTCCAAGATGGAATCAGGAAGTGTGCCAATATAAGGCCAGCCTAGACTATCTAGAAAGCTCAAGGTTAGCCTGAGCAACTAGTAAGACTCTGTCTAAAACAAAACAAATTCCCCCGCCTCCCCCAATGAAGTAACTGAACATTTGACTCCTGTCCCCCGCTTACCGTGATGTGAGCCGTTTTTCTGATACATATTGCTTGGCAGTGTATCTCGGCTCCACTCAGAGGGTCTCAGAATCCTCTCTTGCTGGGACGGCGTAAGCTGCTCACTATACTCCCAGAAATATCTTCTTTTCCCTCGCTTCCGGGAGGAGGTGGAAGTCATCTCCTTCAGGTCTTCTACAGAGTCATTTTCATAGCCTTAAAAAAAAAAAGAAAGGGGCTGGGAAGGTGGCTCAGTGGTAGAGCGCTTGCCTTGCAATGCATAAGGCCCTGGGTTCGAGTCCTCAG